GTTTCAGCAGCGGCTGAATCGGGGTCACCTGGGGTGCTGCTGGTAACCCTGCAGCCCCGAGGGGCAGCGCTAGGGGACCTACCCAGCAGCACTCTAGCTGCTCTGCCTCCGGCTTCCCCCATTCAGGGAAACGGGGGGCAGAGCAGCTCCAATGGTCTGGCTGCCCGGAGCACTTCCGGGTTCCTGATGGTGCCGGACCATCAGGAGTACCGGACCATCAGATGCCGGACCATTGGAGTTTTGCTGTATTATGTCCAACACAAAACATTTCAACATTGTCTTTATTTATGGAAGGAGTGGGGAACCTGTTTTGGGTCAGGGGTCACAGTTCCACAGAAAAATCTGTCTGGGAGTCAGATGCGAAAAAACCCCAAGCCTCACTGATGTGGCCCCAACTGAGACACCTGACTTCCCTGGCATTCCAGCCCCATGGAGAGGGTAGGTAGGACTGAGGTTCAAGGCTTCAGGCCAGATTAACTCTTATGGAGTTCCAAGGTTAGTGGATTTTGTGGGCCCCTCTACACTTTGAGGTGGGGTCAAAAATGAGGGACAGAGCTGCCAGTGAGTGGGATAGGGATAGGGATGGGGGGGGGGGTGCAGAATCTGGGTGGGAAGTAGGGTACAGGAGCAAGCTGGTGTTAGGTGTCTAGCCAGGAGCACGATGCTGGTGAGGGTCTGGCCGGGGGGCAGGGTGCTTTTGGGTCTGGCCAAGAAGCAGGAGTAGGGTTCTTGTGGGGGGGTCTGATCAGGGGAAGGGGGCAGGATGCTACTAGGGGTCGGGGCACAGGCAGCTGGTTGGGTGGATGTCCCTCTTTGCTCCACCCCTGCTGGAGCGTGGCACAGCCTCCGGGAGCTGACTGTCCTGACGGGTGGCTTGCCCCTCTTTGATCCAGCCCAGCTGGCCAGAGAGGTCAGCCCTTGGACGCTGCTCCAACAGTTCCCACCAAGGGGAACTGAAGATCAACCTACAGAGACTAAACGATGGACCAGTAGATTATGATCGGCTGGTTGGTGACCACTGGTCTAGCTGAATAGTTAGTGTGAAAGAGACTGAGATGTAAATCTACAGTGCAGTAGTGTGCTGCTTGCCAATTGTCCATGTAGACCTTTTAGCACACACTTTTAGTTCCCTATTGCATTTTGATATCCACTTTAAAATGGAAGTTATGTCAGTGCACAGTAGGGGACTTTTTAGTGCAAGTGAGCAGGGTACACACAGACTGTGTGGCATGATAGTGCAATGTAGATTTACACTCTCACTTGCCACAAACTAGCAGTTTATGTAGACAAGCCCCGAGTAACAGATATTGCTAAGATTTTTTGAAAAGGGTGTAGAGCACTGAAAATTACAAACCTACATTAATTTTTGTATAAACTTTCTATAATCTCCAAATTTGTTCCAGTACAAAATTCATTCTTTTATGACTGTATAGATTTGCATTATAGACTTGACCCTGAAAGGTGTTAAATCATTTAGACTGATCCTACACCGCACTTAAGCATCTAATTTAATTAAGAGTGTAAATAGTGCCATTGATTAGAATAGAACTAATAATTTGTTTTGCTCTGTGGGATGCTGGAGCAGCCTCTGTTTGTGGGGAGTGTGGGACCCCCATGGACAGGAGCTTCTGCTGCCTTGCACTGCTGCCTCTGTATTGGATTTTTTAGATCTACTCTCCTCAAGGTAGCTATTCTGCGCTGCTGCCTCTGATGTAGAAGCAGCAGCAGAGGGTGGCAGGGGGCTCCCAGGTGGTGGAGCTTTGGAGCACAATGGCTGCTGGCCCTGCTCTTTGTGGGGGGAGCATTTTAGTAACGTGTAACCACTAAGAATTGTTGCGGCTACATAATTACTAAAATTATTTCTAACATCCCTAGTATAGGATCAGACCTGTAATTTGTAATGTGTGTTTAGCTTTTGTATGGAAATGTTTGTTCTGCCCAGACCTAAAACTATTTATTCCATTTCATTAGTACATTATGTCACAATAAAAATACAGGGCTGGATTCATGTCCAATGTAACTTGACTGGAGCCAAGGATAAGTACGATGTAATATTTTTAAAAAGTTTACCACATTTTATTGGCGCTAACTAAGCTAATTCTGCTCGTCTACAAATAGATGCTGTCTGAAGCAGCTCCGGGAAAAGTACATGTTGTTCATGGGGACATTTTGACATACAAGTTGGAGAGAGCTTTTCCAAAGCACCTTGAAATGAAGTGGGAAGATGGTTAGTATCTGCTTTTACATATGTGGTGTTCCCTCCGAATTAGTTGCTATGAAAATTAGTTTATTTGAGAAGGTACTTGGAGTTTACTGTTTTACCATGATTTCCATTTCTTCTTACTTCATCTACAGCACACACATTGGTTTTGAGGACTTTTGGTGGACAGCAGTTGCTCTAATTTAATTAAAGCTGTTAATGGTTAGTCCTTCAGACAGATTTTTCCTGGAAGATAAGATTAGAGAAGCCAGCCTTCTTTATTCCAAAAGAACAAAATAAAAAATAATCACCTGCCTCGTGCCTTTGTGAGGCTGGCCTACTCTAGCAACTTATTTGGTATAACTTCATCACTAAGGGAAAATCTGCACCTCTAAGCAGTGGAGTTACAGCAACCTCATTCCCATTGTAGACACCACTGTGTCAATGGTAGCGCTTCTCCCCTTGACGTATCTACTTCTTGTGAAGTGGTGGAGGACATATGCCAAGGGGAGAAGCCCTCCTTTTAGCATAGATAGCATCTCCACTGAATCACTAAGTCTGTTCAGCTGAGCTTGCAGCCTTTTTACTGTAGACAAGCCCTAAGGCAAAGATGCTGAATTTGTATTACACTGACTGCTGGCCTTTAGGTATGTGAAAGTTTAACTGTGTAAATGGTTAACTGATAAGCCTGGGCTTATTGGTTAACATTCACGGTTACACATAGGCTCCGGGTAGATGTGGGGAGCAGACTTAAAAGCCGGCTCTTGACATGCAACCGGCTCCCAGGGAGCTGCCTACCGCGAGCTCCCCACATGTAATCATCTCTTGGAGAGCTGACTGCTACACAGTTACTTAATTACACACATTTTAACATCCCTACTGGCCATAGATGATTCCTTATGCTCCTTAACTTTCTTTATCAATTTTCTATGGTTCCTAACATCGGATTTATATTAATACCAGCTTGCTCTCTCTTCCATATATGTTATATGACTCTTTAAATTTTTTAACAGCAGATATCACTTTTAGCCAGCATTGTTTTCTTCCTCAATCATGGGATTGTGGCTTTTTGGGCATCTTGTAAGATGCACTTAAATGTTAACAGTTTTCTGATTAAATTCTTTCTCCCAGCTGATTTGGATTATAAGATTACAAGCTTACAGGTTTGTGAAATAGGCTTTATTAAAACACCAACTATTCTATATGTTACTCATCTGCACTTTATTCTGCTTGCATATTATAAATGTGATCAAGTTATGATGACTTGTACCTAAGATACTATTCATTTTTAGTTCTGTGCTCAGTTCTCTGTTAGGACAAGGTCTAAGGGTACGTCTAGACTACATGCCTCTGTCGCCAGAGGCATGTAGATTAGGCTACCCGACAGAGTAAAATGAAGCGGCGATTTAAATAATCGCCGCTTCATTTAAATTTACATGGCTGCCGCGCTGAGCCGACAAACAGCTGATCAGCTGTTTGTCGGCTCAGCGCGGCAGCCATGTAAATTTAAATGAAGCGGCGATTATTTAAATCGCCGCTTCATTTTACTCTGTCGGGTAGCCTAATCTACATGCCTCTGGCGACAGAGGCATGTAGTCTAGACGTACCCTAATATAGAATTACTTCATGTTGGTTGCAACACTTTTTGAGTAAGGAAATTGTCATCTATAATGTCTTTAAATTGTAAGGATTATTTAGTACTGGCAGCATATGCCACTCAAATTGAAGTCCCCCATGATTACACTTGTTTTCCTATATTATAGACGAGTGAATAGGCAGTCATCCTGATCTTTAGTGTGATGTGGTTGTCCATAGGGGCATGTTTATATTTTAGAATAACAAGGTGAGCAGCCACACTACCATGCTAGTTATTTCAAAATAATAATTCCTGCTTGTGAAGAGTAATAAGCTTATTTCAAAATAGTTATTTCGGGAGTTATTTGGAAATAAGTTATTTTGAAATAACCTGGTAGTATAGACATAGCCTAGCAGTCAACAACTGCTACCCCGTCTTGTGCTTTATATGTCAGGGCACTGAGACATAAGCATTCAAGATAATTTTCTTCTGTGTTGTTAGTGACTCAGAAACAAGTAATGCCCTTTTTACATAGTGCCACTCTTCCTCTTCTCACTTGATCCTTCCTAAATAAATCATAATTGTTGATTTAACATTCTAGTCATGTGAATCATCCTACCAAGTTTCACTAATAGCAGCTAGATACAATTTATGCTTAAAAATGAACATTTTCTGTTCCTCTTGTTTGTTACCTAGATTTCTAGCATTATTTTATAGGCTATTCAGTATTATTTTCCATTTACTTTCTTTGGTGTCTTGATTAAATTTATTCTCAACGTCTTGATTTCATTCTGAATGCTCACATCTTCCTTTTTTGTATCCTTCCTTTTCACCATTAGTTTGGGAGGTTTCTACCTCAATAAAAGAGGGAATAATCTCCTTGGGGGTAAGCTGGCTAGAATAATTAGCAGGAAATTAAACTAATCAGACTTCTCTAACCATAGAAGGTGATTAGTGTTCCACAAAATCAAAGGCCTTAACTGTACTCCATTTACCTACCTATTTTTAAAAAAGATTTATTTTCATAATTCTTATAGATCCACCAAATGTACATATCATTGGAAATCTGCCGTTCAATGTTTCAACTCCTCTGATCATCAGGTGGCTTGAAAATGTTTCCAAAAGAGATGGACCTTTCGTTTATGGTAGAACTCAGATGACTTTGACTTTTCAGAAGGAAGTAGCAGAGGTAAGCTTTGTTATTGGCTTATAATTGGACAAATTATTTCAGCACTTAGTAATTTAGTGGTATATGAGAGAAACTAGAGATATTTGGTTGACGTCCAGGGTGTGTTAAAGTTGCTTAATAATCTATTTTTCTCTCAAATTGTAATTTAAGGCAGGAAACCTGGCACAGTGCTTACATTTGTGTGTGCTTAGCTACAAATTTACAAATTATCGAGTTTAATATTAAATTTTCAAAATCTCCTTATTTCTTTTAACTACATACTGTTTATAAAATATTTCTTGAGACATTTCATTGAGACATTTCAAAATCTTGTTTTCTGTGAAGTCTGCTTCATTCACAGCATGCTACTTTTCTGTCTTAAATGATTTCCTTTCCTCATCAGCTGATGTGACATTTTGAGTTAGCACTTCATCTTGTTTTTCTAAACCTTTCAGTTACCTCAAGAATTACATTGGAAATAATTTTTACCCCCCTTTAAACTTCCCTTGTTTATAGAGATTTTCACATTTAAAATGTGTAATATCACTGATTCCCACTAATGATTAAACACTTAAAACATAGGGAACATCTTGTCAGTATAGCCCATAGACACTTTGCTTTCTGGAATATAATCTGGATGCCCAAAATCTGAGTGGGATCATTGCCAGTCTCTTTATCACACGCTGACAAGAATAAAACAGAGTGCACCAAATCAGTATCAGTGTTTTAGAATACCAGATTGAGAAAATGGCAACCACTTTGTTGTTCTGTATACTGTGTATTGCACTAAACATTTAAATAACTTATCAAAACTGAAAACCAGGTTAGACATTGTTTTACCTGAAAGGTCTTTTGTAAATTGTGTAAATGAGGAATACAGTGATTGTATGCCATAAATTAAATCTCAGCTGTTATTTTGGGTACCTAAAGTATTACTGTATGTATATGTCACATCACTCTGCTACAGTTACCACAATGTTTGGGAGAACAAGGTTCAAGATAGGTACTTAAGTGCTTTTAGTAGAAGGCTGTAGAAAACGTGTTCTTTGTGTTGTGAATGTGAAGTAAAGCAGCCATGTGATTTCTGGCATAAAAGATCCACTTCTTTTTCCCAGAATACTTGATAACATAAGAGCTATTAGCCTAAACATTAAAAAATGGCTAATAGACTAGGCTTTAAAGTATAAAGTGGAAAGATGTGAAATTCTATGATAGCAACAAGGAAAAAAACACAAATAGTTGAGAACATAAATGCATTCTGTTGTTTATATAGCTATAATCAGCTGTATGTGCCTTTCAAGTTTTTTTCCATCATGACATGCAGATTATAGTGTTTCTGTACCCAACATAGCTCCAATGACATGCAAAATAGCATACCCATTAAGTTCCTTGTATTTAGAAAGCTGGAAAGACTAAACATTATAAAGTGGAGTGATGTGCTCAAGGTCATGGAATGAGTAAGTGTGGTTTGTTGTTGAGTTTTCGCTGTTGGAGCTTCTGTTCCTTGGTTTTTCATTTATTTAAATGTCCATGATTCCAGTGAATATTTTATTAAATAGAAGATCAAAGACTTTCAGTGTAATGGTTTGCCTTTCTAAGACGTACACTGCCTTCAGGAGAAAAAAAAACAAGTTGTCTTAAGGTCAGTCAGGAAACTGGGAGTCAATTTCTAGGTTTCATTCCTGGATCTGCCACTGTTGAGGCTTTAGGCGAGTTGTTTCATCTCTGTTCTTTAGTTTAGCTGTTTGTAAAAATGACACTTCTAGGTATCCAGGGGATAGGCATCTTATAAATACTTAAAATGTGTTTGCTGAAGAGGAGGAATAACAACACTTAGGCAAAAGCTTCAGAGGGGTAGCCAAGTTAGTCTGCAACTGGAAAAACTAAAAAAAACAACAAATAGTTGAGCAGAACCTTAAAGACTGACAAAACATGTAGCTGGCGGTATGAACTTTCGTGGACACAACCCACTTTATGCCCATGAAAGCTCAATCTTAAGGTGCTGCTAGACTATTAGTCTGTAACTGGAAAAACTAAAAAAAACCAGAATAGTCTAACAGCATCTTAAAGACTGACAAAATATGTAGATGGCATCATAAGCTTTCATGGGCAAGCAGTGGGTTGTGTCCTCGACAGCTCATGATACCATCTGCATGTTTTGTCAGTCTTTAAGGTTCTGCTCAATTATTTGTTGGTTTTTTTTTTTTTAGTTTAACACTTAGCCATTTTCTCAGAAGTGTATAGAGAAGTATGTTTAGCTCATCGAATGCAAGATATTAGTAAATGCTTTTTTTCTTCCAATAAGAATAGAAATTCTGTGACCAAAAATTCTTACTACTATTGTTGTTTTTACTTGGCACAAAATTAAACATTGCCCATATATGGGTTCTAGATGGAATGAGAAAATGTGAAAGATGAAAAAGGGCAAGAGAGAGGAAAAAAGTGACATTTGGTACAGATTCTGACAGAAAACATCTTTGTACAACTTTATGGCACATTACTTGCACTTTCTTGCCTTGCAGCTCAAAAGTTACATTTCCATCTACTCCTCTCAATGTTATTTCTCAGCGTAAGCATGTGCGCGTGCGCACGCCCCTACTTCATTCCTAGCTCCATTTTAGTTAGTTTATAATAATGCATAACTGCTGTGGTGGACATTTACAAAATTAGTAATAATTATTGCTTTAAGTTTTTTGGGGACTTGTTTTTTAAATTAAGAGATCTTTGGAGCTGTATTTTTTAAAAAAATGAAGATTTGTTACTTCAGGGGACTGGACTTGATGACCTCTCGAGGTCCCTTCCAGTTCTAGTGTTCTGTGATTCTTTTTATTCAATTATATCACTTAAACCATATTTTTAAAATGTCATTTAGTTATTGAGGGGAGAAAAATAATCAGCCTTAACTTTGTAATAAGTTCAGATGAATTTCCACAAGAATTTATTTATTTGCTTCCTTATATTGATTAAATTTAAGTAACTGATCTTGAAAGATGACAAAAAGAATACAAGAAAATATAAACATCCAAACATAGACATTGGGAAGAAAGGGGGTTCTGAAAGAACTGGGTGACAATGTTGTCTTAAGCATGAGTTTACAAGTAGATCTGTACTTCTGTGGAGCTTCATTGATATCTAAAGGGTTATGGGAATTAGGCAAACAGATCTGATTACAGGTTTGGGGCAATACATTATATGTAATCCAGATATCAGGCATGTTAGGTAAAAACATTAGATAGTTTGGACATTAATTTTGATCTTTTTATTTACTTTTAAGTGCATGCCTTTAAAAATAGTTTTGCTACTCTTGGTTTTAAATATTTTACCTTAGATTAAGCTGCAAGATTATAGAGCTTTAATATTTTTGCCACTTGCTCAGTCTAGATTCATTGACTACAAATGACACTCTGATTATCCCATAGAGACTCACGGCCACCACAGGAAGCAAGCAACGAAGCAGACTGTCCATCATGTCTCAGTACCTCTGCACTGTTCAAAACTGTTTCACAATTCCAGGTCGAGCCTTTGTTCCAAAACCAGAGGTGAGTCCTCTTTGTGCAGTGAATCTGCTAGCAGGAGATAACACACTATAGCTTCAGCTAATTCTTTATTATAACAGCAACTTGTAAAAAGATTAGAACCACAGAGCTGGAAGAGACCTTAGAAGGCCATCAAGTCCAGCCCCCTGCCCAAGGCAGGACCAATCTCAATAAAACTACCCCAGCCAGGGCTTTGTCAAGCCAAGACTTAAACACCTCTAGGGATGGAGACTCCACTTCTTCCCTAGGTAACCCATTCCAGTGCTTTACCACCCTCTTAGGAAAAACTATTTCACTAGTATCCAACCTGGACCTCTCCCACCGCAACCTGAGATCATTGTTCCTTGTTCTGCCATCTGTCACTACTGAGAACAGCCTTTCTCCAGCCTCTTGGGAACCTCCCTTCAGGAAGTTGAAGGCTATTATCAAATCCCTCCTCACTCTTCTCTTCTGCAGACTAAATAGACCCAACTCCCTCAGCCTCGCCTTGTAGGTCATATGCTCCAGCATTAATAGTTTTACAAAAAGGACTGATCTTGAGAGATGTTTAAAGCTATTGGAATGGGAGTTGAGGGAACACAGCACCTTTCAGAATCAAGGACAAAATCTGTGGACCCAATCATTGAAAAGACGTAGAAATATTGGAGGCACTCAGAGATGAATAATGAAATGACAGGAAGCAAGGAAAACCTTTCATATGAGGAGAGCTTGAAAAGCTGAATAAATGATGAGTAGTCATGAGCACCTTTGTTAGAGACTAACAAAAATATATAATATCGTGAGCTTTTGAGGGGGAAACCCAAGCAGGAAAGATTTATGACTGTTCACGGAGGAAATGGTATAAAGAAGTTTAAAAAAAAGAATATGGGAAACATTCAGTGAAGTTGAAACATAGTGAATTTAAAATTGACAAAAGGAAATATGTTTTACATGACATACAATTAACCTGTGGGACTAATTGTTACCAGATATCATTGAGACCAAGAATTTAGTGGGACTAAAAGTAGGGTTAAAAATGTATGTGAATAACAGTCACAGTGACTTGCATAGGGCTGTCAATTTATATGCGTTAACGCCTGAGATTAACGCAGGGCAGGATTAACACATTAAAAAAAATTAACGCATTAGTCACAGGCGTTAATGCTGCACTGCCCCTTTGAAGTGCTTCTCCAGCACTTCAAAGGGCATTGCATTAGGAGCCTGGGATCAGCTGGAGTCCTCAGCTAACCCCGGGCTCTGTGCAGCGCTGCCCCTTTGAGGCACAGAAGTAGTGGAACGCGGAACCGGGGTTCAGCTGGGCACTCTAGCTCATCCCCGGCTCCATGTTGCTGCCCCTTTGAAGTTGCTGTCTCCATTATAATTAGCGTGGTTGCACATGTATAACTGAAAATTGGTTTTTCTCTGTTTCCTCTTCTGGGCTGCACTGTTTTTCCTTCAGCCTTGTAATCTCCCAGATCCTTAGCTTTTTCTCTTTTCCACTGCAGCCACCCCCCATTCTCTCTGCATCCAAACTTATGTGTATTACACTGCTAATTACATGAAAAACTATCTGGCCTTTCTTACTGCTGACGTAGAGAAAACGCTATTGAAGACTTCTTTTGTTGGCCATTTACTCCCTCTAACTTTGTTTTTTTATAAAGTAATACCAGTATGTCCTGGCTCCCTTTTATACCAAAAATGTGTGATCTGAGAGTGAATAAGGAAAACTTTGTGCTGGCTTTCCCCTCTTCTCCCACAAAGGAGGCAGATTGGGGACATATCAGTGTTGGTGTAGTCAAAATTGGGACTACTGCAAACCAGCCTTCTGAATCACATAACTAGCTCCCTGATGCTTCCCACTTTCCTATGTTAATTAGAGCACCACATAAGAACCTCGTTCAGACTGTTGACAGGCAGTTTGCTGGCAATGGGTTGATCTGAATGAAGTCCTATAATCCCCCATCTTTCTCTGAGTAGCCATCTTCAAAAAAGACAAGAAGCTTAAAGTTATGCTTTTATTTATTTAATATTTTCTCTAAAGTAAAGCCAATAGTGACTGTCACAAGAGCAAAAGAAACAGAAGTCAGTAGTCAAAAACATTGCAGCTATTTTCACACCCCTTTTGCCATATTTTGCTTTGTCTCCTGCTGTTTTGCTGTAGATTTATCCTCTTAACTTTTTCATTATCTTTGAGAGTTTGACTAACGTACAGCCTTAATTAGATGATGTACTGTATGTGGAACATTTTTTTTCCTCTCAGAAAGTTGTTGGAAGTGCTTGTTGTTGGAAGTTAAACAGCTCTTGCTTGGATTTTGCATTGGGAAATAAGGAACTTGGGATTCTTCTATACAAGTAGCCTAGGCAAAGGAATCTTTCTTAGTTGCTTTATGTAACTAATAAAGTCTTCAGTTTTGCTTACACATTCAAATATATGTTTTGGTCTTTCACAAGACTTTTTTTTTTTTTTTGGTTCTTGTTTTCTCTGGCGATTTTTTTTTTAAAAAAAACAAAATATTGATTTAAAATTATAGGCTAGAGGTGTACTTGATTACGTGTTGGATATTCCACTAAATTGGACATGCAAATATTTTTAAAACAATAATACCTTAATTAATCTATCAGAAAAATATAAATGCTTCAAGAAAACTATACACTCCTTAATTAATAGCTTTTGACAACATAAACTTAATACAACTGTTTTGGAGTGTAGTGGGGCACTAGAGCATTGTCCCTAAATAACTTTTTGGCTATTTCAGTTCTGATCCTACCTCAGTCTGCATACTGAATTACTGCTGATCTAGCACAATTGCCAATGGCACACAACAAACATCTTGATTAAAATAGGCAGGAAATTCAAATGGTCACTGTTAAATTATACTATAAGGCAGGCTCTGAACCCCTAACTCAGAACTACTGGATGTATGATAGCCACTCTGTCAGTGTGTATATAGAAAAACATCTCTCTCTCTAAAAACCTGTAACAAAAGATTAAGCTTCATTCCTTCCACACCATTCATATTTGTCTTCTTTGATGCTTTCCATATTAATCTATTTTATACAACAATTCTAACACAGTATTTTAGGAGTCATGAGTTAGTTATTTAAGCATTAAAAAGCTGTAATAAGAATGAACAAGACATATTATAGTATCTGACTGAATTGTGAGGAACTTGTCATATCCTGGGTCTACTCCTCTTTTATCCCCCCCTCACTTGCTTCAGTAAATTCGCATCATTTTCTTTAACACCTAGGACAATATTTGGCATAAGACATCTCCTCCAGTGTCCAATAGGTTCTGCATACTGGAAAGAAGGTTCGGAGACTTTAGAAACCTCAATCAAGTTAATTAAACTGACAAAGTGCTTGTAAACTAAGATGCTTTCATTCACCACAGCTATATATGGTGGATTGAAGTGGGCCTGATCCATTGACTTCACTCAGTTTTGAATCAGGGTCTATGAAATTACTTTAAAAGAGCCAAAAATTCACACTGTTCAATAAATAATGAATAAATAACAGTAAATGAAATACTCCTTTATTAAAGGTTAGGGATTTGCTTTCAAGAGTAAGAAAGTCAGAGTAGGTTCAGATTTTTCTTGTGCCTAAATATATAGCTTGTAACCAGTGAGTTAAAGCTTCCAAGCATTTCCTCAGTCATCATGACACTTCTTTTGTTATGTCCTTCCTTAAAATGAATATTTGTTGTTTGGTGGTAGATTGCCAGCAGTTGGAAACTGCCTCATAGACATTTCTTTTTAAAATAAAAAATGGAATCCACAGCAGGTGAGTATTTTTTGGGCCACTTTGGCAATATATGAATGGTAGTGTTAGCTCTTCAGCTCCTGATATGCCAGTGTACAATGTGATTATGTTTTTTAAAAAGAAATCTACTTACCATGGCATTTGGGAGCTGTAAATAAAAGGCAGATGTAGCTGTGATTTAAAAAGCAATACATAGGGTTTCACATAGAGGAGAAAATTGGTTTTGTTCAATAATTAAAACAAAATTTTAAAAAACCACAATCCCAAATTTTGGTGCATTACTGATACCCTGTACTTGCTGAATAGTTTTCCTTTTGTGTTTAACTGTCTATGCTGTAACTAACTGTCAGTTTAATTGTACTGTTTGAACAGGTTCCTTTCTCTTCAGTAAATTTTAGTTGGAAAGCCAAAGAACTTGGACTGACAAATCCAGCAAAAAATAACACTTGCATAGATATTTATGCTTTATTTCCTGCAATCTTTTTTCCTGATTTAATTACAAAGAAAAATACCTTGTTACAATGTCATTGCAGCCCTGACATGAACAACAGTTCACTGTGTTGTTTTTTTAATCTAAAGCAAACAAAAAAGCCCTAGTTGATAGACATTACTATATTTACACATAGTCCTTCAGGTTGTAGCCTGCATTGTTCTCTTGCTGTGTGGCTGGGAGCTGGTGTTGCTTAGTAGGGTAAATCCATGCTCCCTGTTGCTTTTTAAAACAGGAAGTGCAGAAGATCACACCTGCA